AGTGCGCTGTTCCAGCAAGTCAGCTACCAGTTAGTCTGTTTCCCAGACAGGGGAGTTCACTGTTCCAACAAGTCAGCTACCAGTTAGTCTGTTTCCCAGACAGGGAGTTCACTGTTCCAGCAAGTCAGCTACCAGTTAGTCTGTTTCCCAGACAGGGGAGTTCACTGTTCCAACAAGTCAGCTACCAGTTAGCCTGCTTCCCAGACAGGGGACTTCACTGTTCCAGCAAGTCAGCTACCAGTTAGTCTGTTTCCCAGACAGGGAGTGCGCTGTTCCAGCAAGTCAGCTACCAGTTAGTCTGTTTCCCCAGACAGGGACTTCACTGTTCCAGCAAGTCAGCTACCAGTTAGTCTGTTTCCCCAGACAGGGACTTCACTGTTCCAGCAAGTCAGTTACCAGTTAGTCTGTTTCCCAGGCAGGGGACTTCACTGTTCCAGCAAGTCAGTTACCAGTTAGTCTGTTTCCCAGACAGCGACTTCACTGTTCCAGCAAGTCAGTTACCAGTTAGTCTGTTTCCCAGACAGGGACTTCACTGTTCCAGCAAGTCAGTTACCAGTTAGTCTGTTTCCCAGACAGGGACTTCACTGTTCCAGCAAGTCAGTTACCAGTTAGTCTGTTTCCCAGACAGGGACTTCACTGTTCCAGCAAGTCAATTACCAGTTAGTCTGTTTCCCAGACAGCGACTTCACTGTTCCAGCAAGTCAGTTACCAGTTAGTCTGTTTCCCAGACAGCGACTTCACTGTTCCAGCAAGTCAGTTACCAGTTAGTCTGTTTCCCAGACAGCGACTTCACTGTTCCAGCAAGTCAGTTACCAGTTAGTCTGTTTCCCAGACAGCGACTTCACTGTTCCAGCAAGTCAGTTACCAGTTAGTCTGTTTCCCCAGACAGCGACTTCACTGTTCCAGCAAGTCAGTTACCAGTTAGTCTGTTTCCCCAGACAGCGACTTCACTGTTCAGCAAGTCAGTTACCAGTTAGTCTGTTTCCCAGACAGCGACTTCACTGTTCAACAAGTCAGTTACCAGTTAGTCTGTTTCCCAGACAGCGACTTCACTGTTCCAGCAAGTCAGCTACCAGTTAGTCTGTTTCCCAGACAGGGAGTTCACTGTTCCAGCAAGTCAGCTACCAGTTAGTCTGTTTCCCAGACAGGGAGTGCGCTGTTCCAGCAAGTCAGCTACCAGTTAGACTGTTTCCCAGACAGGGAGTTCACTGTTCCAGCAAGTCAGCTACCAGTTAGTCTGTTTACCATATCCTCCAGAAACAAAGAAAGAGAGAGTCTCAAATCAAGTCAAGATAGACTGCTCAGTTCTAGATTCTTGTTTCGACTTAGATTAGATGGATGTTTCAAGCTGGTAACTTTATTTGTGAGTACGGTGGGGTAACCTAGTGGTTGAAGCGTTTGCTCGTCACGCCGAAGACCCGGGGTTGATTCCGAAGGGTACAATTTGTAGAGCCCATTTATGGTGTCCCTGTTGTTATTTTGCTTCAAGCTTGTAGTATTGGTACAAGCGGCGTGCCACCCAGCTCACTCATCCAACTTATGTGTGCGGCTAAATACCAGTCTAATCTAACGTCATTGTTGACATATATTACTGCAGCTCGAACATGATGTAACACCGTCGTCATTGACGACGACCAAACACATAATACATATCATGACTACATCACCTATAACATACACCAACCCAAGTAATGACCATCAACCCAAGTAATGAACATCAATCCACCTAATGAACACCAACCAAAATGAACACCTAATCCACCTAACCAAGTAATGAACACCCATTAATGGAACACCTAATGAACACCAACCTGCCTAATGAACACCAACCCACCTAATGAACACCAACCTGCCTAATGAACGCCATTCCACCTAATGGACACCAACCTGCCTAATGAACACCAACCCGCCTAATGAACACCAACCCACCTAATGAACACCAATCCACCTAATGAACACCAACCTACCTAATGAACACCAACCCACCTAATGAACACTTAATTCACACCAACCCACCAAATGAACACCTAATGAACACCAAACCACATTATGAACGCCAATCCGCCTAATGAACACCAAACCACATTATGAACGCCAACCTGCCTAATGAACACCAATCCACCTAATGAACACCAACCCGCCTAATGAACACCAATCCACCTAATGAACACCAACCTGCCTAATGAACACCAATCCACCTAATGAACACCAACCCACCAAATGAACACCTAATGAACACCAAACCACATTATGAACGCCAATTAGCCTAATGGACACCAACCCGCCTAATGAACACCAACCCGCCTAATGGACACCAACCTACCTAATGTACACTAATTTGCCTAGCGTGGAGATAAACTTGAAACATGGCCAATCTCATGCTCTACATCTGATATATGTGCAGCCAGATAAGAGGACCCCAGTTCGCAGCTGGAGCCCAAGTAAACATCGGCCCACTATGTACAGGTTACATCTGTGTGCACTGCGTGGAGCTCGGTCAGGGTCAACATACACATTTAACACATCGACGGCGTTCTGATGACATTTACGGCATAAAGTGCCATGCAAAATTAGGTAATTAAAATTGTTGTTTTACGCCACAAACACACTACCTGTCAGGACGGCAAGTGAGTAGTCGAGTCTGGACTAGACAAACCAGAGGTTGAAAGTATGAGCATTATCTGTTGAAGATCCGGGATGGTACTGATCTTCAGTAACCCATGCTTGCTAGGCGACTAACGGGATCGGGTGGCCAGACTCGCTGACTTGTTTGACTTGCCCATGATATCAATCACTGGATTTCTCTGGCCCAAACTTGATTATTGACACACCGCTGTAATATTGCCCAGTGCGTCCTTAAAAATAAACACACAAACAAACATCTTCCTTGAAAACGAACCAAATTCATTTGTTCCAAACATTTGTTAATTTAATTATGTGCCATTAGTAGATGACGAAATGTTCACCTGGGTCCTTCCAGAGGACACCAACCCGGTCACTCGCTGATACTACCAAGTGTGTCGTGGAATCCAGTTTAAGGAAGCCTGGGCCAGTTTAAGGAAACTAGAATTCACAATGTGTTCTCCTAAGCTAGAAGAAACATATTTAAATGATTTGCCTTTCAAATATATATGTGTGTGTGTGAGTGTGTGTGTGTGTGTGTGTGTTCCAGTTGAAATATCAACAAGGCATACCAAACGATTAGTGAGTGAGTTTAGTTTTACCCCGCTTTTAGCAATATTCCTGCAATATCACAGTGGGGACACCAGAAATGGGCTTCACACCTTATACCCATGTGGGGAATCGAACCCGGTTCTTCGAACGAACGCTTTAACCACAAGGCTACCCCACCGTCCAACCAAAAAATTAATGGCATCCCGCCTGCTTGACTGCAGCATCCGATATATCGGCTATCAGCATCCGACATACCAGAAGGGGGTGGTATCATCTATGTAGCGTGATGCAGACGGGCACGTTCACCCTGCCACCGCTGTATGTTAGGTGAACCACCTGCCCTTGAGTTGCAAGCGGCTGTTGTCGCAGGAGTGCTTGAAAAGGCGGAACAAATTCCATTTTGTGCATCATCTCATCTTGGTTGATGGAAATAAAATTATGATTATGTTATGAATACACGCAGAATGTGGACAAATGTTACATGTTATATTTGGGATTACACTTTCTCAGTAAAGTGCATATTCTAGTACTTTTCTTAGGGACTCAACCTAATGGAAAATGGAATCTGTACTAAACTAACACAGTGTTATACTACATATGACATTTGGTACATCATTATTTTATCCTTTTACCATTTTGTCGTTCTAATATTAAAATTCTATGAAATCATGGAATGTGTAATTATTCAATCCCCCGATATCACTTCTACAACATGTAATTATAGGGATAAATCTAAGAGGACCAACTAACCCACTCCACCCCAGGACATCTGGACCCACCCCACACCAACGAAGCCGGACCCCACCCACACCAACCCGTCCCCGAACCTCACAAACCCACATGGACCCACACCAACCAACCCAGACCCGAAACACACAGACACACCTGGACCACCCCATAACTACCCGGACCCGACCCACACCAACCCACCTGGACATATCCCACACCAACCCACCTGGACATATCCCACACCAACCAACCGGATCCTTCCCAAACTACACCAACCCGAACCCACCCCACTCCAACAAACCCGGACCCACCCCACACCAACCCCACCCCAACCCGAACCGACCCCACTGCAACACATCCGGACCCACCCCACAACAACCCACACTAACCTACTCCACCCCAACCCGTACCCGACCCACACCAACCCGGACTTCCCCACTCCAAACCGCGTTGGAATAGGACACTAAGAGTAATAAGCCTTGCGATTATATCGAACCTTTCAGATAAACCATTTGGAAAATATATTTCTTAAGAAATGGAAGTTGGTTATTGAACCTACAGATTCGAATCAGGCTATCTCGATGACACATAACCCGGGCCGCGTTTTATATACTGACTCTTCTAGCATAGTGCTATGAGATTGGTTTATATTTGAGACACTACGGTACACACTTAGCGTGCAGTTGACATTCAGCGCCCCACGAGTGTAAATAGGTCAGACACGCTCTCGGTATGTGATATATGTTCTCGGGATTTGTTCTTTCCCCCGGGCTTGATTTAAATAGGCACAGTTTCAATGTGATAAACATTATTGTCACGAAGATTCGCTGATTAGCAACACACGAGTCGCGCTAACCTCCACAGAGCTCGCCAACAAATTGTAGTTTACGTAACTTGAAATATATGAGTACACATATGTCCATGTAAACATCGTGTAGGTTCATTCCAGGGTTGGCTGTGTGAATAGTTGATATATATATATATATATATGTAACGAAAAGTGTGGATCTGTCACCAAATACATTTTCCTATGTTTCGATAGTGTGCATTTAATAGTCTGAATTGTGTTCAATATCGTCCACGCTTTTGACCTCTGACCACGCCGACCTTTTTTATCAAGGTGAAGGTCAGACATAAGCAACTTCCTGGTCACAATTCTAATCGTGACAATTGTATTAAACTTGACAATTCTGTTGTATGAAATCAATAATTACACATATATCGCACTAGAAGGATGGGAATGAAATGACTGGCGTAGAAATCCCGCGGGGTGCATCTTGACGCTAGTACTGAACATCGGCCGGAGTACGCCAGTGGGTTGTGCATGATTCACTTGTGTTCCACGACAGAATAGTGGGCCTCGGAACCAAATATATAGGTCATTCATGTAAGAACACCCGAGCGTCAACACCGGGTTGTACACCACTCCCAATACTTACAGGATTTTGTTATTTCTGTAAGTCAAATTCAGGAAATACGGATGAAAACAAGGTAAGAACGACTTTTCATTCATGACATGTTTATACCGTGCAAATGTCAGCTGCCTCATACGTTGGTATTCGAGGCCCTTATCAATTACTAATTATATTCTCCTTAACGTATGAAAACAAATAGTTTAACGACCTTAACTTACATGTTAATACTTGATGAGTTAATCTTTCATTTTGTTTGAGAAATTATTTTTATTAGGAAGAAACCCAGTGTTTACATAACATATATTTTAGGTTACATAAGTATTTACGGTGTGTTCATGTGGATGTGCAGTTACAGTTTCTTGGCAGGATGTATGAAGATTTTCTGCATTTTGTGTACAAATAAAAATATAGTATTTCGTGTATATTTGAATAGATGTAAACAAATCTATAGCAAACAGCAAATTTACGAGACGCGTTTTCATGTTATATAAGTAGTATGGTTAAATAAAGGAACTAAAAAACATTTATGTCGTGAGTCAGTTTTTGTAGGATGTACTCAGTTGGCCAGTATTGCAAAGAAAGTAAATGTAAGTCTTGTTTATGGTCTATACCTGTCACTGTTCATACATGCGTAGAGAAGATTTAGTGATTTTGTTCTAATGTTTTGTTGAACCTCAGCTTCAAAACCAGATATTTTTTAAGCATCTGGTAAGAATTTCAGTGGAATTATGTGAAAGACAAAACCTTTTCTTTTTCTGCAGTGTGAAGCATAATTATATTTAATTATAACAATTTATTTGTTCAATGCATTGAATGTCCTCCAGAATATCAAATGACTAGTCCTTAAAGGGCTACTATTTTTCATCTACTTGAGTTGAACTCATGACACATTAAAGGTGATTACATATGTTTCATTCCACACCTATGATCGGGATTTTGGGGAGTGTTGTTATCTAACACAAACGCATAGTAATATAACATAAAATACAGTGACTAAAACAGTTCAGTTTGCATGTACGATTTTTAAAATAAGATTTTAATCTATGATGGATTTTTATAACCAGTTGTATCACAATTTAGTTCAATAATAGTTCACAATTTGACATTATGACGGACAAAGAGTGTGCTTGTTTATTGCCGAACATGTCGAGAATAAACAACATAAATATTGTTCGTAATAAATTTAATATATTAAGTTGTATACGTGTCTGGTCTTAAACAAGTCCGCTTGTTTAATTTGTGTTTACTCGGTTATAGTTTTGCAAAACCAATTCTCAAACTGTAAATACGTTTTCGTACAGTGTGAATATACATGTATATCTTGATGGCCCTTACCTTTGATTATACAATATACTGAAATCGATACAAACTATTGCCAACGATACAACCATATCAAGTTCCGTTGTCCCATAGACACCAATCTGCAATGGTTTCAATACAAACTCCTGCACCTTTTTTACCCACAAATAATAGACGTTTTAAGATGCAGTACATTGATCATGACTTGTGCAGCTATTGTTTTGGTTTTTTAGAGATCCTAACATATCTTTTTTATGATTGTATCAAGGTTAGTCCTATTTGGTAAAAACTTGAAAACTGGCTTAACAATACTCTTGATGTACTCTAAAGAACAAATTCTGCTCAGATTCGGACGTAACAATAATGATCCAATCGACGTGAATCTTATCCTTTTCAAAAGTATCACCTGTAACCATAAAATATCTAAACAGAAGCCAACTTCTCAGTTTTTGCAACAGTAGTTAAAAAAATATTATGAACTGACAATACATTGTGCTATGATAAGTCTAAGAATCGACCACTTTTTCAAATTCTGGTCAATCTGCCACTTTCTGTTTTCTGAATGATGTTTTAACTTCTGCATGGTGTTTTCTAAATGAAATCTACAATGTGTATTTAACTGGAGTCCATGTACCAATGTAAAAATGAACCAAAAAATACAACGTACGTTCAATTATGTCGAAGAATGTGCGCATTTGTGGACGTACTGTTTACAATTATAAAGGAATAATAAAAGGACGATTTAGCAAGATAAACAAAATATATATATTCATTTTCTGTATTAAACCGTTCTTTATTAATGTTATAATCAACCCACTCTAAGTATTTGAAATATGATTTTTTCACTAGTTGGATTTGGCAATATACACGAATTTTACTTTCATTTATTGTACAGAACATGTTCTTGGATAATATACACTCTCTTACCAAAGTCGGAGCGTGTGCTTAAGTCTTGAGAAACATATTCAAAGTCCTTCGAAAACGTAAGATCGGACCAATTTCGCAAAATATTAAGTAAATGTAGCTTACAGATTGTATATGTTTTTAGTTTATGACATAGTTGTAATACATGTTTTTTGTTTTCTTTTATAAAAGTTCATGCCTGTCTGTTAATTGCGAAGCAATTTCACAAAGTACATAAAATAAAACAAGCCAATTTTTGGCATATGATAAACAAATTGGTTTGATTTATTATTCGTATATTTCCTCCAGATTTATTAAAAATAGAATAGCCACATAAGGAAATGAAAAAGAATGCTGTTAAAATAATCAAACTTTTATCAAGCAAGTTCTCCTTTTACATTTATATAACGTTCACTTATACATCAGCGCAGGGATCAAGAAGAGGCTTTAACCTCCTCAAATAGCGAACGCCAGTATGACTACTTGACACATGACATGGAATACTGACCAGCGCCCTCTTCTAATAAAAGAAACATTACACATACCCTGTGAGATTGGGCTGACATTCTTGATATGTTTAAACATTTGTGAAAATTGGAAAAAAGACTAACGTTCATTCATTATTGTTCGTGTCATCGATTTCTTAGACGACTTGTGCTACATGAGCTTTATACTCGAGAATGAACCTTAATTCTTTTGGCAAGAGCTTTGGTTGAGTATTGTTGAATAAATAAACTCAAGAAGAATGTGTGGATGTGCGTGTTGACAGAGATAAAGATTGTCTGTGCTAACAGTCGGTGCAGATGGGGCAAATACTGTGAATATAGAAGGCTATTTTTAGTTGCCGCTATTTCCTGTTGGCTGTCCGTGATTGTTGTTCCCCATCTTCAGCCCACCCCAAATTTTCATTCCGATATAAAATAATAGATAGTAATCGAAATTTAAAAAAATAATAAATAAATAAATAAAATTGGCGGAAAGCATATTCTATATATTCTTGCTGGTTGGATTGAGGTTAGAGATGAGAAACCAAAAAAACCCAACAACTACGGACGGCCTTACATGAAAATGTGCATATTTGAGGAGTCTTTATTCGATTCGATGTTATGTAAATCTCTTCTTACACAACATGCCTTGAGTAAAGGATTTCACCTGTTGACTTTTGAAGATTTAATACTTTCTTTGATGAGAACTTTACGTTCCAAGTGTGTTCATAATTAATACGTGGTGTATATTCATTGAAATTCATTCAAAAAATTGTTATCTTGTCATTGTACTTTTAATTCTTTTCCTTGCAAACAACATTGATGGTCGAAAACAATGTAAGATCGGAAACACGTGTGATATAAATGGTTTTCTAAGTATTGTATATTTGGCTGTCAGATATCTTAAAGGAGTACGATGTTTGAATTTGTAAACCAAATGATGAAAGAAAAGCTTTTAATTCGAAAATATCTTATTATTTAGATGGAGTATGAAGATGCTTCATTAAAACAAAACTTAATAATTTTTTTGTGCATGTTACGTTGCTGTATAAATACTTCGTGTTTGGTAGCATGGCATGTCATGAAAGGTCGAATTACTTAAACTGGTGGCTTCAATTTGAATATTATTTCAGAAATTACCATGACTTCCCGCTGACCAAAAGTTAAGTAAACAAGATACATAGATATCAGTGTGGCTCTATGCAAATCTTTGCATTACCAGGAAGTATTTCTTACGTTGTTTCCACTTAGTAATAAATATTTATCATTATGCAACACATTATGTATGTGCCCAAAAAAAGTTTTAACCATGCAGAAAAATTCTAAAACATCTATACAGACACAATTCGATAACCCTTTGAATGTTGTGTGGACTTCTATTCGTATGTACGTTTAGCAGATCGTATAGATCAGTTCTAAATAGTCTCACGGGTTGAGTCAGTGTAAACAAAATGTCTCCAAATAATAACTCGTAAATTCGATAACAGCAGCGCAGAACACAGCTGGTTGTAATTAAGTTGTATAATGTCCGGTTTGGCAACTGAAGCATGTCCATAGGGACGACGTGAGGGATATAAAAGGTACACCACACACAACAGGCGGATTTACAGGTGTTTTGTGTTGGTCGAGATTTGAACCTGGGACCCTTTGTCTGACAAACGAGTACAAGTTTCCACCTGGACAATTGCTGTACTATGCCGTAGTTTTATTGTATAACATCACTCATAAAAAGGTTTTTGGACCCATGGATGGATTTCTGAATTTGATTAACAGGTATCAACACTAATGTAACAACTTGGTGTTACTGTGTAGTTTTGTTTAATTCGATAGCCTACTTATTCATCTTGATGTATATACTTTATACATGTTGAACCGATTGTCACAATGTAAGTTATTGATATATATATATGATACAACAATATGAACTGCACAAACATATATAATGTAAAACTAGCAATAATGTACCAATAATACTATGTTAAGTTATTGTAATAAACACAAGACACAAAATATGAATTGCACAAACATCTATATTGTAAAACTAGCAATAATGTACCAATAATACCATGTTAAGTTATTGTAATATACACAAGACAAAAATATGAATTGCACAAACATCTGTATTGTAAAACTAGCAATAATGTACCATTAATACTATGTTAAGTTATTGTAATATACACAAGACAAAAATATGAATTGCACAAACATCTGTATTGTAAAACTAGCAATAATGTACCATTAATACTATGTTAAGTTATTGTAATATACACAAGACAAAAATATGAATTGCACAAACATCTATATTGTAAAACTAGCAATAATGTACCATTAATACTATGTTAAGTTATTGTAACATACACAATATCTTATTATTTAGATGGAGTATGAA